CTGTCCCCACAGTGACACCCCTGTCCCCATAGTGTCCCCCTGTCCCCATAGTGACCCCTGTCCCCACAGTGTGCCCCCTGTCCCCCAGTGTCCCCCCTGTCCCCACAGTTTCCCCCCATCCCCACAGTGATACCCCTGTCCCCACAGTGTCCCCCTGTCCACTCGGTCACTGTTCCAATGTCCCCACCCTTGTTGTGTCCCCCCAGCCCCCCAACCCCCCCCCCCCCCCCCCCCCCCCCCCCCCCCTTGCCCCCCATTTCCCCCCCCATCCCCCCAGTGTCCCCTCACCATGGAACACGTGCTCGAAGCCGGAGGAATCCAGAACTTTCCCTCCCGAGCGCGAGTAGAGCCCGAACCACATGGAGTGAAGGTCGGCCCGGAAGGACTGGGCAGAGGGGTACAGACCTGGGGACAGCCAGGGGACAGTGTGGGGACATCACAGGGACAGGGGACAGTGTGGGGGCAGAGGACACAGCCCTGGGGACAGTGTGGGGACAGCCCTGGGGACAGCAAGGGATCATCAAGGGGACAGGGGACACAGCTCTGGGGACAGCCAGGGGACAGTGTGGGGACATCACAGGGACAGTGTGAGGACAGGGGACATCACAGGGACAGGGGACATCACAGGGACAGGGGACACAGCCCTGGGGACAGGGTGGGGACAGTGTGGGGACATCACAGGGGGATGTGGGGACAGGGGACACAGCCCTGGGGACAGCGAGGGGACATTACGGGGACCGCCGTGGGAAGGGGGTGGGACATGGGGATGGGGAGTTTAGCCCTGGGGACAGTGCAGGGGGACGGGGGTGGACACAGCGGGGACGTTCCGGGGACACACTGGGGACATTTCGGGGACACATTGGGGACATTCCGGGGCCGGGGGTCCCCTGGGCCCCACCCTTGCTGAGCACGAAGTTCTCCAGCAGCGCCAGGACCGGAGTGTCCAGCGCGGCCTCCAGGAATTCCCGCTCCTCCCGCCGCTCCTCGTCCGTCACCGCCTCCGCCAGCCCCGTCTGCGGCTCGTAATTGTCCAGGAGCGCCAGGAGCCGAGAAAACGTGGGGCGGGAGAGCAGCGCCGGGGACACGTAGGAAAACAGCCTGGAATGGGGGAGCGGGCTGGGAATGCGGCATGGAAACCCGCGGGGATGAGGGGGAGGGAGGGAGGCGGAGTTGGGATGGGGGTGGAGGGACACGGATTTGGGAAGGAGGGATATGGGGTTGGGATGGGGGTGGATGGAGACGTTGTGGGGTGGAGGGACATGGATTTGGGATGGAGGGACACGGATTTGGGATGGAGGGATGAGGCTGGAGAACCACGGGATGGGGTGGGAAGCGTGGGATGGAGACACACAGGACCAGGGATGTGGGGATGGGATGGAGACGGGGAATGGAGGTGTGGGATGGGATGGAGACGGGGGGATGGAGTTTTGGGGTCAAGGGATGTGGGATCAGGAGGGAGGGATGGAGGAATGTGGGTTTGGGATGTGGGAATGAGGATGGAGACACGGGATTGGGATGGGATAGAGGGACAGGGATGTAGACAGGTGGGATCAAGGGATGGGATTGGGACAGGAAAGTTTGGGATGGAGGGATGGGAACGAGATAGGAGGGTTTGGGATGGAGGGATGGGGACAGGAGGGTTTGGGATGGAGGGATGGGATAGGGGGGTGGGTTGTGGATGTGGGATGAGTTGCAGAGCAGGACAGGCAGCCGGGTCGGGCTGGAGGGCTGGGGGTCACACACGGCAGACGCAGGAAGCCCCCCCGTTCTCCCCTCACCTCTGGCTCCCGGAGTCGCCCTCGGGGCTCTGCAGGTTCAGCTCGAGCTGCCCCGGCCCCGCCCGGTTCGAATCGGCCGCGAGGAGCCGCTCGGAGAGATCCCGGAGCTCCTGGTCCGACACGGCCGAGAGGGGCTCGGGACCCCCCCAGAGCTCAGGACCCCCCCGGGGCTCTGGGTCCGACACGGCCGAGAGGGGTTCGGGACCCCCCCGGGGTTCGGGCCCCCCCCTCGGGGCAGGGAGGACCCCCCCGGGGGTCACGAGCAGCACCAGGAGCAGCCACGTCGCCATTTGGGGCCCCCTCCGGCCCGACCCCCCCTTATGAAGTCGCCGCTATCGCCGCGATAATGCCCCGAGGTCACGATGTGGCCTCGAGGAGGGGGGGGGGGACCCCCCCGGGCTGTTTTGGGGGTGGCTCCCCCCCAACCCCCCAGTAACCCCCGGCTCTGCCCCCGAGGGGTGATTTGGGGGCTGCCCCCCCCTCCCGCCGAATTTGACACTCCCCGGGTGTTGAGACCCCCAAATCCGCCCCCCTGCCCCCCCGGGGCTGGTTAATGGTTATGGGACCAAATGTGGCCCCTCAAGGACTTCCCAGGGAGGGGGAGGGGGAGGGGGAGGGGCAGGGCCCCCCCAAACCGCCCCGCACCCACCGCGGGGGAGGACGGGGGATTGTGGGGTGCGGAGGGGGAAGGGGGGACCCCGGGATGGCTTGGGGGGCTGTGGGTGACCCTGGGGGGCTGTGGGGGACCCGGGGG